CTGGCATGTGCAAACAGGCTTGTGATCCAACCCAGAGTTAGTTGCTCAAAAAAACATCTCTCAATATCTCAGACATTTTTGCACATACTTGAACATCTATCTGTCTGCATGTTGAATGTGTTGCCCATCACCGTGGTATCTAGCCACCAAATCCCAGTTCCCTTGCCAGTGGTTTCCAAACAGTGGTCTATAGAATACTTGCTGGTGCTCTGTGGAGAGATGACTTGTCATGAGGTATTAGCTGCTGCTTCTTGTTTTAGCCTCAGAAGAACAGCACAGATGTGAGGGGAGAGTAAATGAAGAGCAAAGGGAGACAGTATGGCTGTGTCTACACTGGCGCAATCTTGCGCCAAAGCAGCTGCTCTTGCGCATAAACTTGCTGCCTGTCTACACTGGCTGTGTGTTCTTGCGCAAGTAAACTGACGTTCTACAGTATGAAATCAGGGCTTCTTGCACAAGAACTATGATGCTCCTGCTCAGGAATAAGCCCTTTTGCGCAACTGTTCTTGTACAAGAGGCCAGTGTAGACAGGCAACATGAATTTCTTGCACAAGAAAGCCCTATAGTTAAAATGGCCATCAGAGCTTTCTTGCACAAGAGAGCATCTACACTGCCATGGATGCTCTTGCACAAAAGCACATCTCTGTGCAAAAGCACATGCCAGTGTAGATGCTCTCTTGCACAACTACTTTAACGCAAGAATTCTTGTGCTAAAGAGTTTTTGCACAAGATCATGCCAGTGTAGACATAGCCTATGAAAAGACAACTAAAAGTACATAATTCCCTAATGGTAATGAGTAAGCAACCACTGTACTTGCTGCAAAGATGTGAAAGGATTATAAACGCAAGGCAAGGTGGTCAACGTGCTTGCAAATAGAGAGGGGGAATGGTCCTTGAAACATATATCTGCTAAGAGGAATCCAAACTTGGGAACTGCTGTTCTGGCACCAATTCTTAGATTTAACTCTTGCAGGTACTCCTAATTCATTAACGAAACCTGATTCTTGGGTAGGCTGGCATTCATGCAGACCTGACCATCAAACCTTTCCAAGAAAACTCCCCCTGAGAAACAACATACTCTCAATGTGGCAAGAAATACCAACGTTTGAGAAACCAAATGATTGTAGCATCAATCTCCGTGACAATAGAGGTCTAATCAGTAACTACCTGTAATAGAAATCATGCACAGGCAATGCCAACTGATTGCTCAAAGCATCCTGTAACACAAATATATAATAGCATATTAGGAAAATCAACATTAGCAATGTGGGAAAGTAATTTACATTGGCTCAGCTGACATCAATTGATCACTCTTTGCTGTATTAGTTTCAAAGGAGACATGGCAGATTCCTGGATCCCATGTCAGACTTGCCCTGCACCAAGTGTTCATTATTTACATCAGTGCAAAGGCGTATAAAATACTAATGGTCTTGATTTGGTAGTATTTTAATCCACTTTGATGCTGATGTGAGTGGTTAGACAAGGTGCAAGACAATGCTAAATCCAGGCCCTGGCCCTTAAATGGCAGTTAGAAAACATATACCGCTATAGATCAGTGATCCCTAACCTTTATAAGCACTAGTTCACTTTTTTGAATTTAAGTGCAATCCAGGATCTACCTCAAATCCAAATACCCTTACCCCACTTCCTTTGTGCCCCTTCTTTGAGGCTCCACCCCTGCTCACTCCAGCCTCCCTCACTCCCCCAGCCTTCCACCCTTTTACTAGTATGGGGCAGAGGGTTGGGGTGCAGGCTCTGGTCTTGGGTTAAGGGATTGGGAGTGTGAAGAGGCTCTGAGCTGAGCCTGGGGCAGGGAGTTGGGGGCAGGAGGGGGTTCAGGGTACAGGTTCTGTAAGGGAGTTTGGATTGGGGGGGGCTCAGGGCTAGAGCAGGGGCTTGTGGTTCAGGAGGGGGTTTATGACTGGGGCTGGGGTTCAGGAAGAAGCTGGACATTGCTTACCACAGGTGGTGCAGTGGGGCTAAGGAGGGATCATCCCTGCCCTGGCCCCGCACCACCCCCAAAAGTAGCCGGCAAGCTCCCTCCCAAGTCCTGTTGTAGAGATAGAATACATGATGGGAGGGGGTACCCTGACATTAGCACCCCCTTCTCTTCCTTCCCTGCCCCACCCAGCAAGCAGGGGACAGGGGATGGGGGGGAAGGAAGGGCAGCTCCAAGGCAAAGGGCAGGAGGCGTACAGCAGTGGGGGGAGGGGCAGCTGAAGTGCCAGCATTTGATAGCCTCTTGGCCAAACCAGTCAAGATCACCTATCAGAGGCTCCAAGATCTACCAGTAGATCACGGTCTACTGGTTGGTGACCACTGCTATAGATAAAGAATAAAGTAAGATCAAAGCAACTGAGTGATTGATCAAAATACTGCTCAGGGAAATCTCGACTCGATTCTTTTGGAATATGCAGTTCCATCAAAAACAAAAAACTTCATAAAACCAGGCCAACTTTGCTGGAATTTAACTTTGAAGGAAAAATGGAGGGGGAAAAAAAGGCCCAACAATGTCTGACTAGCCTATTCAGAGATTGTGGAAACAAACATTTCAATTTTTGTTCCAAAATGTATTTGGTTTTGAAAATTTTCATTACAAAATATAAAAAGTTGAAATCAAAGAGGAAATAGTGTGACCCAAAATGAACATTTCTTTTCAGAATTTTACATCATATTGAAATTCTCAGTTTAAAAGAGACACAGATGTGGAAATCTTGAAATTGTTTGCAAAATGGAATTTTCATCTTCCAGAGACACGTTTAGAAAAGAAGACAGACAAAGAGCAACTTGAGACAGGGGCTGACTTAACTTTCCAAACAATAGAGCATGGTATTCAGATATATCCAAAAAACTGCAAGGGTCTGAAAGCGGGGGTGAAATCCTGGCCCCACTGATGTACATTGCAAAATTCCCACTGTCTCAGTGGTACTAAGTATTTGCCCCTAGTGAATATAATGCTTTTCTTCCTCTTCTGTCTCCTCCTCCTCCTTCCCTCTTTGCTGCACTCATCCTTTGACTCTTCTCTACTAACCAGTCTGTTTTCAAGCTAAATTCCTCTTCCTTTTCTTTCTTCCCACTTATAAGCTATTCTCTTTCAAACACCTTCCTCTGTCTTTCTTCAGTTCTCCATCTTTTTTTCCTCTACTTCCCTGCCCTTCTAGGTTTTTCCTTGCTGTTCTCCCTCCACAATCTGCAAACTATCTGTAGGTTTTATTGGTGCAAATCACTGATCACAATATGCTTTTAATTGCTTAGAACTGAGCAGCTAATTTATATTAAATGTATTTGGCATATTTCACCTCCCTCTGGAATTTCAAACAGGCCACAGTTTATAATTTTCTATATTCAAAAATATTCACAAATAAATTCTGTAATCTAAATATGTCAATTTTGACTATTCGTCAGCTGAAATTCAAGCTGTGCTGCTTGGTTTTGAATGAATACATAAGTCACATGGTATTGTTTCAGTTAGCAGATTGACCAAATGGAAGTCTTATTTGGCTTTGAATGCAATATTGTTTCTTCTCCAGGTGAAACTCACTCCTAAAAAGGATTTAAGTACTCATCTTCACAGGGGTGAATTCTCTCTAAGGAGCAGTTGAAATTTGTACAAAGAATATATTTAAAATTATTATAAGATTTCATTAATAACAGTCTCATTAAAATTGCTTTATAGTTTTAATTAATATTCTGATGAGCCAATGCTTTCATTCTGTGTCTTTTCACATTAGTAAATGCAAATTATTAAACTCAATCCCATATATTCACTCTGAAAAGGAAGTTGTGTTTGAAGTGTGAGTGAGTATAAGATAGGCAACTTGGAAAAAGAAGGAAAAAAGTCCTAATCAGATGTAATACTGCAATATGTTTTCCACAAGACAGGTTCATATTATGAATGACAATTCAAGCAGATTCTGTTGGTTTGATTAATATTTTAAGGCACATTCCCATTTGCATTTGTGTGTTTTTCAGGTGAGCCTAAACTCTGTCAAAAATCAGAAGATATAGTAAAAGTCACTGAACAAAAACGTGCTGTGATACGCAACTAGACTTGCTACTACTTAGAAGCTTCTGACATTTTAATTGTGAGAGGTAATTTTACCATTTTTACCATGTCAGTTTTGGTTGTAAGCATTGCAGGGGGAAATCAGTTTATTTGTAGCATTAAAATTATGTCCACTGAATTTTTAAAAAGCCTTAGAAATAGTTCTGTTGCTTGTGGGGGGATAAATAAATTTGGGGGACAGTTGGCTCTACATCGGCTTCCTAATAAGTGGGACAGTGCAAGAAGAGGGAGGGAATGATTAAAACAGTATCTTAAGTTTCTTTGAATTATTCTCTCTTCCAGGCTAAATAATCTTACCTAAAATATATCATTGTCACAATTTTAAATACTTGAAATTTCACGGTATAGCGCATGTCACATCATGTATTTTCATTTTAATTGTTAACAGGAAAAACAGAACAGCACTACGAGTTCCTAATTCAGCTTTTTCCGAGGCTGTTATCTCTATCTACCTGGTCTAGGACCATGCCGTTTTTATGGACAACCATTGGGCAAAATAATGATAGTAAAATCATGAAACCCTGAGCTGGTAACTCAAGGCACTTAGTTCTCAAGGTTTTGGATGTATTTGCAACTGTTTTATTTCCTCTTCTATTTTGCCTTCTTAAACCTAGCCAGAGTACTTTTTCAGACAAAACTTGGACTTCATTTTATTTGCATCACTGAAACCAGATGTTTCCAAATGAGCATGAGATACATGTATAAATACGAGGCACGTATCATTTGCACTGGTTTGCTATAAAATTGCTGGCAATCTTGATCTACGTCTGACGGCAATGGAAAGCCAAAATGAAGCTGTCACAGGGAATTGTTTATGCATCTACACTGCATAATGACATTTAAGTCCCACTTGTCAGATTTCTTAAGATGTCTGGAAACAAATTAGAATGTGGACTGTACAGAGAAATATTAGTATTGTCCCATGCTGCCCAGATCGACAATCAATGTACCCCGAGGCTGTGGCTGCAATTTGGAGAAAACCTGGTGTTTCCTGAACATGACCTTTGAAATATTTGTTAAACACTTGTAAAATAACTGTCAATATTAAGATCACAATGGCCTATGGCATTCAGTATGACCTTGACAATGGAGTCTCACCTGCATTGGAATTAGGTGTATATGGTTCAACATCAGAGCAGAGGAAACAGATACAAGAATGTTCGCATGACAAATTAGCTTCATTTAAGCAAAATCATGTATAAATAGTTTGCAGATGGAATTGTTGCCCTTTTGCAGGAAGGCGAAATTTGGGGCCTTGTGGGGTGGTTCTGTGCACATGAAAACTCATCGATATAGAGTCAGGATAATCCATGCTGCAATCTGTTTAGTTACAGAAATATTCACATAATCCCAAGCCTCAGTAGGAACCTACAGCAATCAAGCAGTTAGTTTCCATGTTCAGAAACTCCCAGATGAGCCTTTCCAGCCAGTACAGTCCCCAAGGCGAGGAACCTTTCCTGTCTCAGCTTCCTTCCAAAGTCACTCATGATTTCTTCTGGCTCGCTCGCTCAGACTCACACAGCCTGCAACTAACCACTCGCCCCGGCATATGGAATCTAAAGGGAAACCCTGTAGCTCTCCATTGCCCTCTGGGTTGCATTATACTCTAACCAGGCGGCATAGGCCACTAAACTTACAATATTCTGTTAACATGCCTTTGGATGATGACCTCAAAACAAACAACCATTCACAGGCAGCCACTAGCCCCTTTCACAATAGTATTCAGTGGGTATGAAATTCACACCATTCTAGATGTGCAGAATAAGACCTGTTTGGTATCTATTTTGGGGCAGTAGGTAGGACTAAAGTGGAGAACAGGCCGCATATTGGACCTTGGCATGAGTGAATTTCACACCAGTTGAATAAGGACTAACGTAATAGCCACATTTATGTTGATTCACACTCACATGTCTGTATTTGTTGACTTTGCCTCTTTTCTGGCCTGTACACAACTGAGCAACCGTAATTGAACTGGGTATAATGCAAGAACTTTGCACTGGGACTAAAGGACTACCAAAAAGTGGAACTCATGTCATTCAACATATAAGCCATATATTCAATATGCATATTTAGTATGCATAGATCTAATTTAAGAAGTATTTGTGCATAGAAGGTGTAAAAAGTGCATTTAAAATGTTTTGTGAATCTGGTCCAGAGCTTGTATTTAGCATGGATTTTCTGTACAGTGCAGATAACAAATGAAAATGTTCAAATGAAATTGTATCATGTACATCATAACCTGATACTTTTTTTCCTGAGCTAAGGATTTATATCTGCTAGTGTTTGGGCAAATCATTAGTTACTTGGTCGCTCAACTGTCCCTTTTTATTCTTTTATTGAATGGTCTTTGCCCCCCTTATATAAATAATCTGATGGTTCCTTAGAGCCATTATGCCCGCAGAAAACACAGTTTCGTCAGTTTGCAAACTCTCAGCCAGCTAGGTTGCAAAGCTTCCTTCAAAATCAGTGGATGATTGGAGTAAGAATTTCAGGATGGTGCCCTCTGGAAAAACATGGGGTCAGATTTCTCAGATGTGCCTAGCATCCGCAGCTCACACTGAAATTGATAGGAACTGCTAGTGCTTGGCATCTTTGCAAATGAAGGCAATGAAATCTTTGTGCTATGAGCAACTGTTTACCAAACATGTTGTTCACGAAGGCTAAAAGCTTGCACAAATGCTCACAAATCTTAACACCCTCCCCACATTTCAACTTTTGCCTTTTTTCAGAATTGAACTTGACTTCTGGGCCATATCTATTTCCAGTAGTGTTTTACACACAGCATTCTTTTCTTCCTGAACATGTAGAATTCACTCCAGCTACTACAACTATATGCCTTATGTGAGGTGTTCAGCACACTCCACTCATACTGTGCACACTCTGCTTGCTGGCTGGGAGTTAGGGAAGCTACACACCTCAAAGGAGGTACCCGGCACTTTTCAGGATTGATCGTTAATGTGCAAATATATCTTGGGTGTAATGACTTGACTTGTCATTTTGTATTACATATTTGAGCACTGTGATGGACTTCATTGAAATAGTGAAGGAGGCTACTCCATTTTCTCAAGAATGCCTTCTATTTAATTTTCTTTTTTTTTTCAGTAAAATTGTATTTTTGTTTCATATTGGGTTCTCTATAGAGGGTAAAATTTATCTCAGTGGGAAGAATCAACCTGAGATGTGTGCACCACTTATTTGAGTCTTCAAAATATAACATAATATGGATCTCAATGGTATATATACTTTGCGATGAGGTCTCTGTAAGAAGATGAATTTTCCTCTTACATATTCGAGGGCACACTAAACACAATATTGCATAGGGCCATAAAAAATGGGGATTGAGTATGCATCTGCCTCAGCTGGTGTGTTGTATGGCCTGAACAGGTCTGCCACAGAATTATTCTCCATGTAAGAATTAAAAAAAAACCACCTTTCCCTTTTATTTTAATTAATGTCAGAGCTGAATCTCATGCTGTATTTTTGCTCTCTGGAATGAGGCCTCTCTAAATATTATAATAGTAAATTTGACTCCTGCAGAGTGGCTATGGAAAGAAAGTGAAAGAGGCATCATCTGATTGGCCTTTTGCCTCACAGCCCTGCCACCTCCAGAGGCAGAGGAACCAATCAAAACTGAATCTCCCTCCCCTTCTGTGAGCAATGGATTGGCTCCTCTGTCTACCCCCTCACTCCCAAAGCTGCTGGCCAGGGATGGGGGCAGAGACCCTGGAGTCACCATCCCTAGTCTGTAAGTGGAGTGGGAATGCTGCTCCAGGTTTGGAAGAGGGAACAATCCCAGGATAAACAGGTGGGGTGTGGAGGCTGAATTAGGGTGTGCAGGTGCTGGGGGAAGAAATGTTGTGATGGGGAAGATAAAATAAAGGGGACAGCATTGATGGGCTCTGGGTGGGAATGGAGCAGAACTGAGGTCTTGTGGGCTGAACGTGAGTCAGCTGAAATTACTTATCACAGTCTGTGCAATGTACTTAATTATGTTAAATTTTAACATTGTTAACCTTATTGTACATTCTGTGAGTGGCAAGGGTGGTACACTGCTTAAACTGAGGTGATAAGAGGGTGAGTCCATTTGAAAACAATATGGTGATATGTCTCAAAATAAATAAAGATATGAAGGTGGACTTCAGCAGAGAATAGGTTGGGGACCACTGTGTTATAAAAATTCCTGATAAAGTACAGTGAGAAGCCATAGGCAAGGACCTCAAAAGTTTCATTTTGCATTTTATTAATCTTGAGTTATCTGATAAGTATATTCTGTAATATAGTTATGAATTATGATTTAGACAGTATTTTTATTTAATTCTCAACCTACAAAACTTGTGTTTTAATTCTGCTGTTTGTGTCCATATTTCCTATGATAATATTGCTAAATAAATCATATTTGAGGGCAAAGATTGTGAAACATTTGAGTGTCAATACAAGTTTTTTTTATTGAAGCATGTTTGATCATTTGCATATGGATTGTCTCTGGAAAAAATGACTCCGCATAAATGGTTTTTACCAAATCCTTCTCCCTTTTGTGAGTCTGATCTTTTTTTCATGCCACCTCCTGCTTGACAAACAATGTTGCTTTCCTTCTCAAGTCTATATTGAATTTAACCCTTTTTAAAGCTGGCCTGCCACTGTTAACCTTTATGCTTAGATTGGCTTGTCCTCCTAAAATCTTACATTAAGGAAAAAAATAACCAGCAAACATGGGATCTTGCAAACTGTGGTATGTGTGATTGGTCCCATCGGAGTCAATTAGGCTTTTTGAGTTCCTAAGATTGGACCCACATCTGGAACAAAGGGCTTAATTCAAAGCATACTGAAGTCAGTTCATAGTGACTGCAACAGACTATAGATCAAGGATATCTGGTTCTGATCCAACACCCAGGCTATGTCTACACTACGGAGATTTTTTCCAGGATACTGGATGTATCCTGGAAAAACTCCACCGCGTCCAGAGAACGTCTGCTCTTCCAAATTTTTTTTTGGAAAAGCAGACGCACTTTTTTGGAAGCCCTGTATCCCTCATTTTATGAGGAATAAGGGCTCTCCCAAAAGAGGAGGTTTTTCCAACATTTGGCCCAGTGTAGACGGGTCAAATGTCGGAAAAGCCTCTTCTGAAAAATGAATCCGGAAAAGGTACGCAGAAAACCCAGCAGTGTAGACATAGCCCCATTGAAATCAATGGACAGTCTTATATTGAAATTTACACGCAAAGGTAAACAAAATCATTCGATTTTTTTCTGTTGCGTCACATTCCTCATTCTTTGTCTGGACTATGCCTATGTTAGATTGTGAGCTCCACAGGGCAGGATTTATGTCTTTTCGTAAGTCTGTACATTCCATGCAATTCACTGTAGAAATATTAACAATGGTATTCAAGATCTCAGTGGTAAGGGTATAGCAACAGATTTTTAATCATGTATTTTATACTGATGTGTGTTGATAACCAGTGACAGCAAGAGAGAATTAAAGCAAAACACATGTTCTTTCATTGCAAGTTTCAGATAATATTGCAGTACACAAGTGTCCTATCTTTTTCTGCAAATCCTTAGAGGTTACATGCCATTTATTATTTAAATAATATTAATAGATTGAACCTATGAACATGTGTAAATCCAAAAACTGTTTTCACTTTTATGAGTGTAAATCCTGTGAAATTCCAGTGGTATCAAAAGGGTAAGTCAAGATTTGGATTTGCACTGATTTAGCTCAGGGCAAAAATCAATTTGTCGTGTTTTACAAAGGCACTGAAAGGATTTAAGCATCCAACCCCCACTGACGTTGCACTCTCCTTGGCATTTGAAAATCAGATCCTGGAAAATAAAGATAATCCAAATATTGGCCTCTGATGGAGTTTAGTTCTTTTAAATTTTTTTTTAATTGAAAACATTTTAAAAACACATAAATGCTTTGTCCAAACTGTATTATGGAAAAATATTTGAGACATTTCATTTCTCTAGGATTTGATTAACTTTCCTGCTCATTATTTAACAGGGCTCCAAACAACACTTTTTCCCCATACCCAAATGTGATGAGTCTGGTATGAATGAAGAGCTGGAATAACTTACCCTCTGATACTTTAAAAATCTTGCACTTTTCAGTAGTCCTACTGAGGTCAATCAAACTAGTTATGTTCATAAATATGTATGTCAATCATTGCAGGTCCAGCATCTTAGTCATTTTAAGCTGAACATCCCTGCAAAAAGTTCTGTTTTTTATCATGCATCTACTTTGGTTATAGTAACTTTATTCCAATGTGGAGGCCAATGAAACTGAAGAGGTTGGCCAACATTACAGCCCTCCAGCAGAACTCAAATGGCTCATATTTTAGTTCATAACAACCTGTCATTTCCTCAAGTGATGTAATTAACTAGTTAATTATTAAAGTGATGCATAAAGGCTGGCAAAATTGAAAAAAACCATGAAGATGCTAGAAAACATGAGGTGAAGATGAAGCTATTATTGTCTTTTAAATACCACTTGTGCTCTTGATGCCCATTATACTGCTTTGTGACAGCTTATTTTTTGGCTCCCCATGTTTCTGCTCTAACAAATGCTACCTTATAAAAGCTAAAGTGCTCAGATAGTGATACTGTAATGCAGATACATGTTGCATGATATTAAAATACCCAAAATGCAGATATTTTCTAGTTTAATAAAATTGAAAACTGCAGTAACTCACTAATATCCGAAGATGATAAAGCTCACTTGAAAAGCTCAAAAGTGGGCAATAAGCGGTCTGCAAGTTGGTCTCAATTCACCAGCATTAGCTGCTGGTGGGCCACTGGGTGCTTTATTTACCTGCACATCTGCACAGCTCCTATGGGCCATGAATTGCAACACAGCTTCCTGCAGCTCCCATTGGCCAAGAGCAGCAATCCACAGCCAACAGGAGCTGCAAGTGGCCATACTTCCGGATGCTCAGGAAAATAAAGCATCTGGCAAACCACCATGGGCTAACCCTGGTGAACAATGTCCGTCCCATGGGCCACTTTTGCCTACCGCTGATGTAACTCTTTAGGTTTCCCAATTAACATCCCAATCCCATGAGGTGCAGATTACACAAATAGGGTAGTTGAATGTGACTTGATATGCCTCTCTGGTAGACATTAGTACTTCACTGCACTGCACTCTACTAGTATAAAAAATAACCAATAATATAATTGAATAACAGAAGACGTCAATAAGCGGAACATATCCCTCATATAATACCACTAGCTGCAACACTGTTAGGCATGGTTGAATTTGACCCCTTGTGTTGTTGAATTTGGCCAAATTTGGGAGGGTTAGAAATGATTACTCTTGACATTCTGAGCAAAGCTGAACTTAAAAAAAAAATCAGGAAAAAAAAGACATTTAGGGTTGACCCAAAATGGAAATTTTAAACTTTTTCTTGCTGAAATAAAACTGAAAAAAAAAATCAATTAGGGTTGAACAAAAAATTATGTTGGACCTGAAACTGACTTTTGGGGTTATAGTTTTTTTTGTTTTATTTAGGTTTTTTTGTACACTTTTTGTTTTTCATACATTTAGCTAATTTTTGTCAAAAACCATTATTTTAAAACAAACAAAAAAAAAAGCAAAACATTTTGTTAAACTATAAGTCACAGCATCCAGCAGCCAGAGGCTTGGGGGCATCCAGAGTATAGGGCTGCATCTTGTTTAATACTCACCCATGGTGCTACTTTCATTTAATGTATCTAATTCAACCTGTGGAACTCCTTGCCAGAGGATGTTGTGAAGACCAGGACTTTAACAGGGTTCCAAAAAGAACTGGATACATTCATGGAGGCAAGGTCCATCAATACTTATTAGTCAGAATGGATAGGAATGATGTCCCTAGTCTTAGTTCGTCAGGGGCTGGAAATGGATTAAAGGCGAGGGATCACTTGATGATTCCCTGTTCTTTTCACTCCCTCTGGGGGCATTGGCAATGGCTACTGTTGGAGGACAGGATACTGGGCTAGATGGACCTTTGGTCTGACCCAGTATGTTCTGATTTTTTTTAATCAATTGTAATTTTGGGCTTCACAGCATCTTCACAGTCCTGTTGCAGTCAATAAGCATGTGGCCTATGTAAGGATTTCAGAATAAGGCCCTAGATGATGATAAATTCACTTTACAATTATAGTCCAAACAAAAATTAAAAGTTTCTGTTCTTTTACCCCCAGCGAATCATAGGTTGAATTCAATTCTGCCTAGGGGGATTGTGGAATCTCAGTCAATGGAGATATTTAAGAGCAGGTTAGACAGACACCTATCAGGGATGATCTAGACCAGTGCTTGGTCCTGCCGTGAGGGCAGGGGACTGGACTTGATGATCTCTCAAGGTCCCTTCCAGTTCTAGTTTTCTTTGATTCTATGATTCTGGTTAGTGCTTGTGCTGCACCCATCACTGTGGTATCTGAATGCCTAATTTCAGATGCAATTTGACATTGGATTTGTTCTTAACAATGATTGGCACCATGGGGTTTAAAGGAATAAAATTACATCCTTTATACAAATATTTAAATAATATGTAGAATTCCAAAACAATTTTAAGAAATTGGGGTACGTCTACACTACAGCGCTAATTCGAACTAACTTAGGGTATGTCTACACTACCCCGCTAGTTCGAACTAGCGGGGTAGTGTAGACATACCCTAAGTTAGTTCGAATTAGCGCTGTAGTGTAGACGTACCCCAATTTCTTAAAATTGTTTTGGAATTCTACATATTATTTAAATATTTGTATAAAGGATGTAATTTTATTCCTTTAAACCCCATGGTGCCAATCATTGTTAAGAACAAATCCAATGTCAAATTGCATCTGAAATTAGGCATTCAGATACCACAGTGATGGGTGCAGCACAAGCACTAACCAGAATCATAGAATCAAAGAAAACTAGAACTGGAAGGGACCTTGAGAGATCATCAAGTCCAGTCCCCTGCCCTCACGGCAGGACCAAGCCCTGGTTGAGATCATCCCTGATAGGTGTCTGTCTAACCTGCTCTTAAATATCTCCATTGACTGAGATTCCACAATCCCCCTAGGCAGAATTGAATTCAACCTATGATTCGCTGGGGGTAAAAGAACAGAAACTTTTAATTTTTGTTTGGACTATAATTGTAAAGTGAATTTATCATCATCTAGGGCCTTATTCTGAAATCCTTACATAGGCCACATGCTTATTGACTGCAACAGGACTGTGAAGATGCTGTGAAGCCCAAAATTACAATTGATTAAAAAAAATCAGAACATACTGGGTCAGACCAAAGGTCCATCTAGCCCAGTATCCTGTCCTCCAACAGTAGCCATTGCCAATGCCCCCAGAGGGAGTGAAAAGAACAGGGAATCATCAAGTGATCCCTCGCCTTTAATCCATTTCCAGCCCCTGACGAACTAAGACTAGGGACATCATTCCTATCCATTCTGACTAATAAGTATTGATGGACCTTGCCTCCATGAATGTATCCAGTTCTTTTTGGAACCCTGTTAAAGTCCTGGTCTTCACAACATCCTCTGGCAAGGAGTTCCACAGGTTGAATTAGATACATTAAATGAAAGTAGCACCATGGGTGAGTATTAAACAAGATGCAGCCCTATACTCTGGATGCCCCCAAGCCTCTGGCTGCTGGATGCTGTGACTTATAGTTTAACAAAATGTTTTGCTTTTTTTTTTGTTTGTTTTAAAATAATGGTTTTTGACAAAAATTAGCTAAATGTATGAAAAACAAAAAGTGTACAAAAAAACCTAAATAAAACAAAAAAAACTATAACCCCAAAAGTCAGTTTCAGGTCCAACATAATTTTTTGTTCAACCCTAATTGATTTTTTTTTTCAGTTTTATTTCAGCAAGAAAAAGTTTAAAATTTCCATTTTGGGTCAACCCTAAATGTCTTTTTTTTCCTGATTTTTTTTTTAAGTTCAGCTTTGCTCAGAAT